GTTTTTTTGTTTGTTTTTTTAAATGGTAAAACAAATTAACCACATTCAGAAACATGCAGATCATTTTTATAATTTCATTTAATATTTTTTTTAAAGATTTGTTTGGGATAAGAAATTTTTAGAACAAATTAACAATTTTTATGAATATGCAGAACAAATGTCTACATTTTTTAGATTTTTTTTTTTCATTTTTTTTTTTCAAAGATTATACTTTTTAAAAAGTAGATTATACCGAATTATAGTAGATTATTATAAATTATGCAGAATATTTTTTTTTTTAATATTTTGGATTTTTTGGCAAAGTTTTAGCAGCGAGTACTCCAGTCTTCAGTGTCACATGATCCTCAACAAACTTATTGTTATCAGTCGAAAACCTATTTTTGTGGAAACCATGATCAATTTTCTGATTCTTTGAAATTCAGAAAAACAGCATTTATTTGAAAGAGAAATCTTTTATAACATTATAAATGTGTTTTCTGTCACTTTTGATCAATTTAATGCATTCTTGCTAAATTAAAAAAAACATTAATTAAAAAAAGAAAAAAATCTTACTTGCCCCAAACTTATGCTGCACATATTTTTCTATAACCACAATTTTTGTAATTGTATGCCTGAACTATAAACTTACAGATCAAAAATCCTTACTACTATGTGTAAGAAAAATGTCCAAAAATTAAACTTATTAGGAGTAAAATGGCTCATCATACACTTTGCATAGGGCTAAACCTCTTGGAAGCAATGCATGGGACAGCTGGTTCATTCATTTTGTTGACATCCTTAGAAAATTAGAATTCACGAGCTGTGAAGTGACTGACAGCTTTTCCTAGCTTTCGGCATCCCTTCTATTCACCTGAATAACTCCAACCACATCTGTCACATAACTGAAACATATTCTCTAAAACTGTCTCAAAATATCTTCTTTTGTAATCCATAGAAAAAAGAAAGAAAGTCAAACTGATTTGGAACAGCATGAGGGTCAGTAAATGATCACAAAATTTTCATTTTTGAGTGAACCATCCCTTTAAGTTAACCAGTACAACATCTGAATGTACTGCATGTGCATCACTTTTCAATAAATAGCTGTTTGGAAGCCATTAGCAAAGGCAAATTACTGCCAACTGTAAACATGTCTAGTTGGAAAATGCAACCTAAACGCCACATATTTAATAAACAATCTTGTTACAAGGCTAAATGAGGCCACAAATCCCATAATACTGTATATTTTACCGTGGTCAACATCCCGTGTAAGAGTTCCATTCTAGGCTAGGAGACATAAAGGATGGCCCCGTTTCTTTCTAGTTCTGCCAGTTGGTACAAGCACTGTAATGCTATAATCTGAACATGAGTCATTTGGGTCTTTTCTGGCAGCAGAACACCACATTTGTGAGACTAACAGGACCCATCTGCCATTTCGATGAGGACACAGGCCTGTTATTTTCACTACATTATACATTTTACCTAATCAAGCCTCTGAAAATTGTTGGATTGCATTGTGTACTTGTAATGCAGATCTTACAGTCGGCACTTAATAGCATAATAGGCCGACAGAATATCTGCGCAAAAGAGGTTCAGGTCACTTCTAATGTGAGTTATCCTCACATCACTGAGCTTTTAGCTCAAACTCAATGTGCAGGCATGCAACTAACAGTCGGTGTTGTCAGGAAAGAGATTTGTGCCAAACCGAGCTGTCATGTAAATATAGAGCTGTACTAGTTTATATAAACAATACCATAAGTACACGCACATTACGACTCCAAAGTCTTTGAACGGAATAACCGATTCCATGTAAGGAGTATTTTTAAATGTCAATGGGGACCATCTTCCCTAAGGAATTGTTAGTCACAGCTCCCATTCAACACACACATAACAGTACCGAATGTCATTTGCTCACAAATTAGCAAAAAGCTTTACACCTTTAAGCTATATAATATATAGACAAAAGTATTAGGATAAACCTTTGTCGTGGCACTCTTAATGGTGGCGGAGACTGACCCAGAAGAGAAGAATAAAGTCATTATTTTTTTTCTTTGTGCACAAAAATGTATTCTCGTAGCTTCATAACATTACAGTTGAACCACTGATGTCACATGGACTATTTTAATGATGTCCTTACTACCTTTCTGGGCCTTAAATGTTTCAGTTGCGTTGCTGTCTATACAGGGTCAGAAAGCTCTCGGATTTCATCAAAAATATCTTAATTTATGTTCTGAAGGTCTTACGGGTTTGGAATGACATGAGAGGGAGTAATTAATGACAGAATTTAAATTTTGGGGTGAACTATCCCTTTAATGCTTCAGCATACCAAGACATTTTGGACAATGCTATGCTTCCATCTTTGTGGGAACAGTGTGGGGAAGGTTTTCTACTCCAGAATGACTGTGCCCCAATGCACAAAGCGAGGTCCATAAAAACACAGTCATATGAGATTGGTGTGGAAGAACTTGACTGGTCCGCACAGAGCATTGACCTCAACCCCATCGAACACCTTTTGGATGAACAGGAGTGGATATTGCAAGCCAAGCCTTCTCTTCCAACATCAGTGCCTGACCTCACAAATGCTTTACTGGATGACTGAGCAAAAATTCCAACAGAAACACTCCAAAATCCTTCAGAAATCCTTCCCAGAAAAGTGGAAGCTATTATAGTTGCAAAGGGGCGACCAACACCATATTAATGTCCATGTATTTAGAATGCAATGTCATTGAAGTTTCTGTTGGTGTAATGGTCAGGTGTCCTAATCCTTTTGTCCAAATAGTCTATATTAGATGCAAACTGCCTATATTACATATAGGCATGTTATTTATTACATTAGAGGCAAACATGGGTTACATAATCTATCAAAATGAAGTAAATCAGTTAGTGACACTTTGGAAGGTCTCACCGTGAAAAAAAAATGTGTTAATACTCTGCAGATTCTGATAACCTAATGAGAAATAACATTTAAGTAACATATTAAATTCAGACACACCTCCAGGGATCTGTTAGCAAGATATTGTCATTAATTATTTACACCACTTAGGCACGCCACCTTGCTTTATTCCAGGTGTGAAATCCAGATGTTATGAAACTGTGAAACTATGAAATAGTGACAAGCACATCATATCATGTTAGAAAGGTGCTGTTTTAAATCATATCAACAAGCTTTGACAAAGAAAATATAAAATCAAATATAGTTTTATTCTCATTAATATTTACTAAAATGAATGTTCTTATTCTGTTGGGAGGCAGATTGTTTTTCTTTTTGTTGCATTATTTGTCTTGTTGACTGACTGCACACTGACTGTAGTGGTTTCATTTTTTTAAATATACCAAGGTTCTTGATTATGAACTAATTTTACTTGAACTAATCAAAGCATTCAGCTCATATGACAGTGGTAGTGTAATTGCTCTCCAGTGACACTAGCCCTGACAAGCATTAAAATGATCAATAAACACATGTAGGCTATTGAATGAAATGGGACACTGTTTTAGGGGTCCTGCTAGCACCACCTGGTGTTAACTCGTACAATTACCACAGCTAACAACCAGTCTTTTGGGGTTTATTCAGACGAGTTTTACTAAAATAGTACATACACATATATGTAGATATAGAATATTTAATGTCACAATTACGTACAATTAAAAGCATGTTGGAATGTCAGTAAGAGGTCAGGTATTTTCTGTACAGTATGACAAAATTGGTGTATAATTTTACAAAATTCTTCATAATACACTAGTTATTGGTTGAAACTTCCACATCATTGCATTCTGTTTTTATTCACAATTTGTACAGTGTCCCAACTTTTTTGGAATCGGGTTTGTACTTGTATTATTTGATACATTTCAAATAATGGTATGCATGCAGATAAAGCTACAGTTAGTAGGTACCTTTTGTATTTAATCTACCACATGTTAAAAGTTAGTTTTAAGCTGGTTAGTACCATTCTGAGAACTACGAATCATATTGTCTTTACAATATCTTAACTCAAGATATTTTTATAGCATCTCTTCAATGCCAAACTAAAGTGTGAAGAGTTTGTGAGAGCAGCAGTTTTCTGGTAAAGTTAAAAGGACAAATCTCACTGGTAAATGTATGGAAGGTGTCACTAATGCGGGACACTGAATCGTAAACAGTTTGTGTGTAATGTGTCAGTATGAGGTTGTTTGCTGTTGATGTCTTATCTAGTTTTGTTTCTTCATCCTGTTGATTCGCTGGTTCACACACTGTAGACTCCAGTAGACTGCAGCGATTAAGACAAAGGCCTGCGGAAAACAACAAGATATTGACATTTAAACGCCAAATAGGTCAATATTAATAGGCCAATTCAACATTGATTACTAATTTTTCTTAGTCGCATCTCTACTAATGCACATTAAAGTTTTCTCATGTAATTATTTGTATTTATCATATTTAAAATGTACATTTGTAATTAAATATATATATATATATATATATATATATATATATATATATATATATAT